GTGCTGCGTACCGATGCTACTAAGGAACACGTAAGCCTGCGTGCTTTATCACGGGGCATCAATGTTTGGACCTAGTTACTAGCTTTGTGCCTAATCGTAGACGAATTCATCAGAATAAGGTCCAAAATCCAAATTCATCATACGGCCTAAAAGCCCTAGCCCCAAACCCTTGAGTTCTATGGCCCTGGAGCAATTGTGCTTGCTTGGCTCGCAAGAGTAAGCTGAGCAGTTCGCCCTCGCCCAGTCGTAACTTCCCGGAGCGTTCACAGCAATCCAACTCATCATGACTGGTGAAGACTCCTTTCAATTTCACCCAGCTACGGGGCCCCCCTTGGCATGCGGAACCCCAAGAACATCCTAATGAGATTCTTGAGACTCATTCTGACAGCTTGCGGCTTTGTAACTGGCAAGCCAAAGATCTCAAACCACTCAATTCCCAGCCTCCTTCGACCACCAAGTCTTTCCTTGGGGTTATCCCTGGACGACCCATGATCCAAGCAGAAAGCCCTGCACCCGAAACCTTGAACCCAACTCTTGAACCCTCCTGAAACATGCACGCTGGCATGAAGCCGAACATTAGAGCCCCGTACTGAGAATAGTTGTTTTTGACTCCCTATGTTCAACGTAAAGCCTTCTTGGCCTAACTCAGGAAGAAGGGGAAGACGTTTGCCCAGCGGCGCCGCTCTCTGAATCCAAGGCACATCTCCTTGCATAAGCCAAGCCTTGGAAGTCCCCAAACTCCCGAAGGCGGCACACGCTTTGGCATCGCTAGGCTAGAACCGCCAAGATTCCCATCAATCTCGTACGTCCCAAACAGCAGAGCCCTGACCCAAGCCAAAGTTTACCTGCGAAGGCCCTGCGCCTGATTCAAGACTCCACACATCCGGTCCGAGCTGCTGCTGGGCTGGGCAGACAGTCACCTATGTATGCTATCTATATAATGTATATTGATATCGGGGGCGTGTTTAAAATATATGACGAAGCGGAATCACCCCATGGCGGAGGGGGGGGGGGTGGCGTGTTTAAGATATATGATGAGCCGGAATCGCCAAACCGAGGGCGTGTTTCAGATATATGACCAACCGGAAACGCCCAATGGAGAGGCATGTTTAAGATGTATGGTGAAACGGAATCGCCAAAGGGTGCGTGCTTTAGATTTATGACGAACCGGAATCGCCCAATGGGGAGGCATGTTTAAGATATGTGATGAATCGGTATCGAATAATGGTAGCGGTGTTTTAGATATCTGATAAGCCGGACTCGCCCAATCGGCGAGGGGGGCTTGTTTAAGATGAACCGGAGTTGCCCAACCGAGGGGCGTGTTTAAGATATATGATGAACCGGAGCTCAGTCGGGGGAGGTGTTAAGATATGACGGACCGGAGTCGCCACATGGGGAGGCATGTTTAAGATATGTGATGAATCGGTATCGGCTAATGGTAGCGGTGCTCAAGATATCTCACGAACCGGAATCGCCAAATGAGGGGTCGTGTGAAGATATATGACGAGCCGGAATTGCCCGATTGCGGGGCGTGTTTAGGATATGTGATGAAGCAGAAACGAAGGGGCGCGTTTAAGATATATGCTGAACGGGAATCGCTGCAGGGAGGGGGGGGTGTTTAAGATATATGATGAAGCGGGATCGGCCTATCGTGGGTGGGGTGGTTAAGATATATGGTGTAAATGGCGAACCGGAATCGCCCAACGGGCAGGCGTGTTTAAGGTATGTGATGAACCGGAATTGTACATGGGTTTCTGCGGGCTTCGCAGTGGTTGTTATTTGTTTTGGTGTTCATCAATTCTGTGGCTGTGTAATGGTTTTCGAATGGTTTATTTATTTGCTTTATTATGTGGCTTCCCTCAACTATTTCTGATTCTCGATTATTTTTCTATGTTAATCGCCACAACCAGAGACATAAAGACACAGATATCCAAGAAAAAAGCGGAGAACCCATTACTTGTCTATTGCTTTCAACTGTTTTCCAATGGTTTATTAGCAATATTAGCGTTTATTATGTGGTTTCTATTATTTATGGCTGGTGTTTGATTAAACTTATATGGTTAACCCCCACAGACATAAAGACACAAATAGCCAAGAATAAAATAGACGCAGATATCTCAGTGAACAACCCAAAAGCGTGGAAGGCCTCTCTGCAATGCAAGCAAAACAAGATGCGGTTAACCCAGAAGAAAAGACGCAGATGCACCAAAAAATATAGCCGCTGATAACTTCTTCTCCAAATACTCAAGTGTCACTAGCTTTTGGCTGTGCAACTCTCGGAATGTGGAGATGCGTTAGAAATACGGAAGGGGTCTCTCCGGGCTGCGAAACTCTGAAATGCTGGTCAAGAAGTTTGCGCTTGTGGCATCATCAAGCGACCCGAAAGCTTATGCAGACTCTGAGCCCTCGGATGCCGTGAACCAACATCTACAGAGTTGATTGTGCAGGCATAACTGGTTGTTTTGCAGGGTTGATTGTACGTACAGGAGACGGCTCCTCTATTTTGCAGTCTCACTTGTTTTACAGGACGAGTAAGATCTGCAGTGCTCCAGGAGCAGGTTGCACAGTCTTTCACACTGTAGTTAGCAGGCGTTGTTGGAACCTGGGGCGCTAGGGTGCTTGAAGTTTTTTGTTTTTTCCGGGGCGCAAGTGCAAGGTGAACTAAACTGTCAACAGGACAGAGTTGCAGAACCCTTCTGCAGTGAGCCTAGTAGTCATGCATTTCACCCTGAAGCTGAAGCTGAACCGACATACGTTTTTGCAGAACACGAGAGACCTGGCACAGACCGATCATTCCCAACTACCGGCAGTGCAAGACCACAAGCTTCATTCCTCAAGCTTTAGTCGCCGAGTCCCTCATCATGAAGCTTGCGAAGCTGTCTATCTTCAAGTACCCGTGGCCTCTGGCTAGTGTAACCTTGGCCTGTGTTGCGACTCGGCCCCCAAAGCTAGAACTTGTTTTTGAGGTCGATGTTTTTTCTGGTTTGTGAGCGGGCTCTTGAGGCAGAAGGGCAGCTTTGCTGGTTGTGAGCAAGCCAGGAGAAGTTTTCCTCGGGGAATGCCGCAGACGATTGCCCAGACTGGCTGGAGAGCATTGTACCCTCGGTGCCCGGCTTCAAATCGAATGACACGGACATAAGCTCGAATATTTCGGACTTGATCTCGAATGTCACGGACGCAAACAATTCAGATGCGAATTCCACGAGCTCGAACTCCTCTGAAACGAGCCTTGGTAACTCTGGAAGACTTTGTTCCTTTCTGCTTGTGAGGTAGCGCAGCGTGCCTCCTTCTATGAACTCCTTACTGAATCGACATGGATTGAAAGTCCGACAATCAGTGTGTCTAGAGTCTAGAGCTGGTCTTGGGTGCGGTGCCAACCCTGCACCAAGTCGACATGATGCAAGCACTGCGGGGCGTTTACCTAGGAAAGTAGCAGCAAACAGGGGGACAAAACGACTTTTAGGATCTTCGCCAGAAACACCTTGAAGAACGGACGCCTCTTTCAAGAAACTCGCAAAGAGGAGTCCGCGACGACTTCGACGGGAGTGGTTCCACCTTAGCCAGCAGGCGCCATCATGTTCATCATCTTCCGTTTGGGACGTTTCAGGGCACGAAACAAAAGTGCTGTCGTTGCTACTGCTCCTGTCGATGCTGAGTGTTAGTGGGCGATCGGCAGCAGAGACAGGTTGGTGCCGGTCTGCTCGCCTTGTTGGCATTGTTTTGGTTCTACAATTTTGATGATGCACAGCCTCCATCGAACGGGTTTTGCATCATTTTGCATCCTTATCTTCAGTTAAGCCGTAACTCATCCCAAAAGCGTGGGAAAGCAGCTACTGTTAGCAGGCCTTGGTCATGGGGACGGACACTGCCGGGCGCTTGAACGAGGAGGCAACTGTTCGATGGTGGAAGGACTGGGTGTGCAGCGGGTATTGAGTGTTCGGCGTATAGAACTCTAGCTTCAGGCTGGGTTCGAGTGTAGGACATGAAACTTCTTGGAACTAATGGTGAGAGGCCTGGTCTCGTTGTCAAGACTCTTGGCAGATGCTGAATGCTCTCCAACTGGCCTCGGTTATCCAACAACGGTTACTTGGTACAGGATCGGCGTTGGACCAACGCCCAAATTGAGGTGCAGCAGTGCCCCCAACCTGCACCGGAAAGCCGTAACAACTGCGTTTGAGTCTCGATGGGGTTTCCCAAAACTCTCAGCGAATCCTTGTTCCTTCAAAGGCCAACCGCTCCCTCGAACAGAACAAGAAAAGCATAGACTCAAGCCCGAAGAAAGTCAGGGAGGCAGCCCGCAGCAGAGGAGTCTTTAGCAATGCAGCCCTTGGGCACGCCTTGGTCCTTGGGCTGGGTCGTGGCCATCAGCACCTGGACCTGGCTTTTGTTTGGGGAGTGGAGTGCGGGATGTTTGGGTTTTTGGGTGGTTAGAGGGTTTTGAAATCAGGAAAAGTGGCGTGCAGAGACCATGTAATTAAAGGGGTTGGCTTGGGGTCCGTTGCCGGCCGAACCTCCAAAGCCCAGCTTCATATTTCTATACAAGGGATCAAGCGGGCTGGGAACACCCGTCTCCTCGAGGTCCAGAATCCGATGTAACACCCTCATCTTACCCTCATGGAACCTCCGAATCTTACGTAGAACTTCCTGCTGAAATATACGACTGTGATCTACCACTTTGCATAACACTGTAGAGACCGCTGAAGCCTCAGTCTATCAATGCCTGTGAAGCGCTACAATCCTCAGCGCAAACGAGAAGGACACAAACTTCGAAGCCAAACAAATGAGCTCAAAACCCCCAAACCTCCAAGCCTCAAGCGCCAGGACCCTTTAACGTTCTTTTTCCACAGAGTCCTAAGGCACCTGGCCGGGCAACGCGCGACCGGTCCCTCCCCTCGGCTCCGCCAGTATCAGCCCACTAGTCGTAGGGAATCTGCACGACCCGAGCTTCAGCTGAAGTAGGGTTTTAAATTGTTAAATTGATAGTTCTAAAACGGCGTAGAAATTACTCCGCTAGCCAAACTAAAGCCTGTATGTTAGACAATACACGTGTAGCTCGAAACTTTCGGCCCGTAAATGTATGTTTCTGGAAATTTAGCCTTTTATTTCCATGCTTTTTCGGCAGGGAGTTTGGAAAGGAGAACCTTGGGCCCCTACATTTGAAGAGGGTTGTTCGGAGTTGTGGCTTTCTTGAGGATGCGGCACCCCCAATACTTGCACGAAATAAATGATAAATGATAGGGTCCTAAATCAAAGGACCGTCAGACCCCTGAACTGAGCAACCCCCATGTAGTTCGTCGGAGCTTACGCGACTAAAGACCAGGGTTTTGATCGACCTTGATGTGCTCTTCCGAACTCGTACATGCTACGGGGTTGGACACGTTGTGTCACCGGACCGGAACATGGTCTCGGTGGTGCGATCATGTTTTCATCCTGACTACATATTATCGAATCTTGTGCTCTGTGTGAAGCAGTCTCGGGGAGCAGGGTGTAATGTCGTTCTTTGCATCAGGACGGGAGCTCACTCAACGAGCTCCATGTAGCCACCTGTTTTGTCGTGCTTGCTGCGGATGTATTTCAACAGATCCATCCTCCAAAGCCCCACAACTTTTCCATATCAGATTCCCAGACCCGATCCGACGATCTCAGGAACACCGCTTACACTAGCGCACAGCTTGCGCGTAGTGCCTTCCCGCAGGGCCACCTGATGACTTGGCAAGGGTATGGGCATCTAAGCTTGCAGAGCGTCCAGGGTGCAGGGTTTGAACTCTGGGGTTTGGTGTTGAAGGTGGCGGGCTTGAATCAATCGGGGCAGAGACCAGGATCATCGCCGCTATTACCGTTCCAGTTGCTGTTGCGGATTTTACAGTTTTGTTTATTCTCCAAACGGTGTCTGGTAACACTGGGCGGTTCTTCGATTAGGATTGCAAACAGGAATAATTAGGCCAGTGTGACGTAATCGCGCACGCAGGCGCCGCTGGCCATAAATTCCCATACTTTGGCTCGTGAAGCCTTGACGAGTGATGCTCCAGCCACAGTGCCGTGCATTTCGGCCTGCCAAAGTCGAAGTCGTGCTCCTCAAGGGGTGTCAGTCGTTTGCCACCGTGTGGCATCTTGGACTCATGGGCCGGTCTTGGGAGGATCAGGGGCGCCCCTGCGATGGTTCTTGGGTATGTGTGTCTTGGACTTATAGGTGCTCTTTCGTTGCTTGGATGTGCAAGCTGCCGAATTCATTTTTATTGAGATGCTCATGCTGGTGAGAATGTAGTGTAGGGGGTCACACTGGCACAGAGTCATAGCAGCAACAAGATCAACAATGCCAATGATAATGCCGCAGCTCATGCCTTCACATATATATATATATACACATATGGGTGTGTATATATATATATGTATGTATGTATGTATGTATGTATGTATGTATGTATGTGTGTGTGTGTATCTATATGAGTGAACAAATGCCTGTGATTGATTTGACGGTTCTGCTTCCTCATGTTTGTCTTGAGATGCTCGTCAGTAGAGTGTGTCGCTGTCCAAGGAAAGTCTTGGCTTAAGAAGGCTATGCTAACTTCGGTGCGGTTTCAAACGCATGCAAGAGTTGTAGCACCCGCCCCCCTCCCCCCCCCGTTGTTCTGAATCATGAGTGTCACAGTCCATGCTAAACACTCTTGTCACTACTGAATCTGATGTGCGCTTCTGCACGGAAATGCTCGGAAAAACGAGTCGCTTCTAACCAACCCCCTTCCGCCCACAAGAGTCCCCACCTCCTAGGCCACAAGCCCTCATACTCAGAACGATCGAAACTAGTTACAATCTAGATCTTTCGAGTGGGGTAGGAAGGCTCAGGCGCCTTAGATAACTGTGGTTTTTATACTTTTCGATGACATGACCCATCTATCTGCGATGACAGTGCCTCACATCTGAGAGTGCCCGTATGAGTGTTTCACGACTCCATTCATTTGTTCAGCTGAAAGCCTCCTCGCTTGCAGTACAGGCACTGCATTGGCCTTATCGGACCTTTGGGCGAGATGCTGTCAGAAAGCTACAAGGAGGTGTGGTCGGAGATGCGCATGTTTCGGGGCCGTAAGTTCTGGACCCTGCAAGCCGTCCGCAATGTGTGGGTTGCTGGCCTCTTGTCTTGTCAAAGTGCCTCACCTTCGATGCGCTAAGCATTTTTGTGTCTACGAGGCTAAGACGGGTCACGAGCCTCACTGCAGATCTTATTTCTTCGAGCCCTTCTCTCGGAGTTAATCTTCGGCAGATCTGCTTCTTTTGAGGAGAGCTTGAACACACGCTGACAGATGACAGTGTGGGGGAGCTTTGTTTTGGGGCAGGCAGAAGAGAGCAACCAGTTGATGAACTACACATTTTCCTTGGCGAAGTTTGCTTGCGTCTCGTCGGGGTATATAGTGGTTCCTGCTTCGAAAGCACGGAGAGCTTCGAGCTGTCTTGCGATGCCAAGGTGTCTCGAAAATCCAGGACTACTTGGAAACTGGGGAGCTCCCACTCGATGGACACACTTGCCTCGTGCTTTGGCTTACACTACCACCACCACCACCACCACCACAACTTCTACTAATTACTAATTACTGCTACTACTACTGCTGCTGCTGCTGCTGCTGCTACTGCTACTGCTACTTCTACTACTGCTCTTACTTCTTCTATTACGACGACTGCTGCTGCTACTACTCCTACTACTACCACCACTACTACTGCCACCACGGCTACCACTGCTACTGCTTCTACTTCTGCTACTGCTGTTATCAACGATTACCATCACTATTCCTGATACTAGCACCAGTACTACTACGACTACTACTACGACTACGCCTACGACTACGCCTACTACTACTTACTACGACTACTACGACTACCACCACTACTACTGCTACTACTACTACTACGACGACTACTACTACTACGACGACGGTTGATGGTAAAAGACCTGCATTACCTTAAGGACCCTAAAGTATGGGAATTTTGGTATATTCCTCGTTATGGGTAATGCAGGAT